CGGCCTCCAGACTCCCCCACCGGCCCACAGACCTATCTGAGCCCCACAACCACAAACGGACACACGTGCAGGGCTCTTATCTGCCCGCAGCCTCGCCGCCGCTGCGCCAACCGCCGGACGGACCAAGGAGAGGCCGATAACAGCTGGTGACAATGCCACTGAGGGCCGGCCCTGGGACGCGTCCGCCGGCCTGGCTCCCTGACACAGTTCTGCCTCCCTCTCCTCACAGCGTCTGAATTCCCAGTGTAACTACCACCGGCTCAGGTGTGGGTCCAGGACACAGGTCCCGGCTCACTGTGCACCGGACGGTGTTCACCATCCCTCCTTTATGAAGTTACCGCCGTTTCTCAGTCACGGTGCTGAAAGAAGACAGCCGTCCCACACTGCGCACACACACACTCAGTGCACGCGTAGAACCCAGCTTTTCCTGTGGGCGGAGGCAGCCCGCAGCCCCCACACCCGCTCCGTGTTAGCGAAGATCCAACACTCCAAGGTTCACCCCCAGCTCAGCCACCTACTGTGTGGCTTAGGGCAAGTTACTTCACCTCTCTGTGCCTCCTTTCCTCCCTGCTAAGTGGAGAGACTGGTGATACAGCAGAGCCCCCCGGGTCCTGCAGAGCGAAGCCGAGTGCTCTGCATGGGGCCGCCTCAGTGCTTATTCCTCCCGGCTGGCCGAGCGCCAGGAACAGAGCCTCATTACGCTCCCCGGTTACAACACAGAAGCTGGAGCTTGGACCAGTGGGCGGCCTCTGGGCCAAGGACACAAGCCAGGGACGGCCCCGCCAGGGTGCACACGCTCCCCGCACAGGCCGGGCTCTGGGCTGCGGCAGCTGAAGCACAAGAGGCACAGGCCGCTGCACCCCCTGAGGAACGACAGCACTCAGCCCTCGGAATCCTTCAAGGCGGAGCTGCCCTTCCCTGCCCCACAGGGCGCCTGAGCCTGAGCCGGCCAATCAGAGCAGACAGCCTCAGCCCCACAACCCACCCAGCACCGCTCACCAAGTCAGAGCAGCCTGCGCATGGGGCACGGGGTGCAGCAGGGGCGCAGGAGGACGGGAAGCACCCCGGCCCTGGCTCCATCCAGCAGAGGGTAGCAGTGTGCAGGCCTGCAGGGCTGATCCCCACTTGGGGTGCATTGGGTTTACACCGCCCGCCTTCCCGGCCTGTTACAGGCGGCACCCCTGGCTGGGAGGTGAGGGGAGAGTCCAGGACAAGCGGCCTCGCTGTGCAGTCCCCCGAGGGCCCGTTTCCCCTTCAGCAGCCCTGGCTGCCCTAAGCCTTTGGGTTACAAACCAGACTCAGTGTCAAGGTCCGAGATGCCAAGAGGATGTAAGGAGGGGCTCCTGCTTTAGGGATCAATGGAGGTGGCACCTTTAAGGCTCCTTCCCCAACTCGCCCAGAGTGGGCAAGGGGCGCGCTGCCTGCCCGTGTTTCCTGCGCTGTCAGGTGAACCACAAAACCCTGACGGTCATCGGGGGGCAGCTCCTAGCGTCCCTGACCCTGGGAACAAAGGGATCCTCAGTCTGAGGACACGTCTTGTCCCCAAACACAAGTCCAAATGTGCGTGACAGATTCTACCAGCAGCTGAGAACAGAAGGCAGGTCACACTCCCAGCCGCCCACAGCGCGGGGCGGCAGCCTGCTTTCCGGCCGTGCTGAGTGGGACCGAGGGAGGTCTTGGGGAGGCCCCCCCTTGGCGACCCCCCAGGACCTCTCACCACCCAGTGGCTCTCCCCGGGGACAAGCAGACCCCTCTCCAGAACCGTGCTCCTCATGGGGACCCCAGCAAGGCTCCGGGACCCCTGCAGGGAGAACCTGTCCCAACCCAAACCCGGGCCCCCACCCGCACCCCCCGGAGACCTTCCTGCTTCCAGCACATCTTTCTGGCAAATTAAACTGGAACTGCAGGCAGGCTCCCGAGGCTCACACTAACCCAGCTGTGGGCAAACTATGGCCCGCGGGCCGGATCCCGCCCGTTTGAAATGAATAAAACTAAAAAAAAAAAAAAAAAAAAAAGACCGTACCCTTTTATGGAATGCTGTTTACTTTGAATTTATATTAGTTCACACAAACACTCCATCCATGCTTTTGTTCCGGCCCTCCGGTCCAGTTTAAGAACCCATTGTGGCCCTCCAGTCAAAAAGTTTGCCCACCCCTGCACTAACCCAACCAAAGGCCACGGGATTGCCGCGCCCGACACCTGCGTCCGTGAAGGGTCCCATCACCTCCCTTCAGCGACACCTGGGAGCACACGCAATCAACCGCTACAGCCGAACGGAGCGGCACGAGGTCCCAATTAACCCCGTGGCGCACGCGCCCCACCCCCAGGCCCGGGAAACAGTGCGTGGAAGCGCTTCACACCGCGGGCCACGCAGGGGCTGCCTCGAGCCCTCAGGTGTGGCAACTCAGACTGAACGTCCCCACGGACCTCCACGCACAGTCCAGGCCCGAGGGCCCCGCCCAAGGCCACCTCACACTCCCTTCCTCCCCAGCCAGCAGAAGGCACTCCTGTCCTGGAATGTTCCAGCAACAGGGCGGAGCTGGCACCAAGGGCAGGCCCATAACCCCTTTAACTGAGGCACCTGAGATGGAGCCTCGCTCGAGGCGCCTTTGTCTTGTGCGTTTAGTAACTGAGGACAGGTGTGCTGTCAGTGCGGCCAGAAGCCTCGCGGGAGCCCAGGGGCAGCAGACAGTAGCCCCTCGCCTCCTGGCCAAGGTGCGGGCAGTGCCTGCTGGACCTGAGCGAGGTACTGGAGAGTCGGTTGACTCAATGCCTGGGAGAGGTTTGCGATCAGGACTGTCACAAGCCACCTTACTGGTAACCATTACACAGAAGATTCTCGGGGGGCGAGGGGGGACCCTCATCTTCCCAAAGCAGCAGGTTCTGAGCTGCAGTCAGAGAGAAGTTGGTGATCAGTTCGCCTCAAGTAGGAAGGCACGTGCCATCAGCGTGAAACTCCACGAGGAAGGCTGAGCAAACATACGAGTTCAGGAAGAAAAGGGAGACGCGGCCGTGTACAGCAGGTTTTTAAAGGGTGCTGGGGCCCCCAGCCCGAGTCTTCACACCGGAGACGTGAAATGCATTTAGCCTGTGCTTACAATATTCTAGAAACCACATCCTTTACAGCTGCTTGAAATCAGCAAGAAGTTTAGATGTCCACTTCAGTGCCCGTTTCCAGTTACCCCACAGCCGTGAGCGCGACTGGACTCCAAGAGGGCGGCTCCGGCAGCCCGTGTGCCAGGCAGCGCTGCCCCCCTGGCTGGGGCCCCGCAGGCCGCCTCCTGCTGGAGCAGTCAAGCCCCTCCCTTCAGAGTAACTCAGGGGACACGATTCCTTTCCCATTCCAAACCGAAAATCATCCTCTTTGGGATGAATGTATTTTCCTAAAACGATGACTGAACGGTTGGCAGCGAGGAGCGATTTACTGTTTGCCGGCCTTGCGAGGTCCCGGGGCTGCTGGCCGTGTGCAGCAGCATCTGTGTGTAAGCGCGGCGGCCGCTGCGGCGGGGCCAGACCAGCGGGCCTGCCCCCCCGGCGCCTGCTGTAAGACTTGCTGTGTATTTTACACACTCGGGAGTTCCCTTCCTTTAAAATGGGCAGGGTCTGGTCGCTGACCAAGCCAACTGGCTCCAGGGCTCCCAGGCAAACCTCAGGGGCCTGCAGGGCCCGCACGGCCCAGGTGGAAGGCCCCTTCTGCACGCAGCCAGCAGCGCCTCTCGGGCACCGGCTCAGGAATGCAGCTCCCCTCGCTGCCAGCAAAATCCTCCAACAGGTTTGGGAGGATGAAAACACCAAGGACTTAGGGCTGAACCAGGCTCCCGGCCAGGCAGAGCTGGGAGGGCAAGGTGGCCAGGCTCGGGGGACTGAGAGGCTCTGCAAACCCCGTCAGCTGCGGGAGGGCCTGCTGGGGACCCGGGGCCAAATGCCCAGCACCATGTGTACCCTTGGGGGCGGGGGGTGGACCTGACTCACCTCAGGTTCCAAACAGCCACACAGAACTCAGCCTCCCTGTCCCTCCGGGCGCTTGTTTCGCTTCCCATCATCTCTCAGAAAACGAGTGCAGGCAGAACAGGCTGCACTGCGCTCCCAGGATGTTGTGTTTACTACGGAGGGCGCAGCCCCTCCACCTGCGGGAAGGCTGGCTGGCCTGACTAGTAAGGTGATGGCCTGGGAGGGAACAGGACAGCTCCGAGGCTGCCTGGGACGGCTGAGCCCAGGTGAGCACACTCAACAGGCACCCCTACCGCCCCAGCCCTGGGCACCGGCTAAGGTCCGAGATGCTGGCGGGGCCCTGGGGGATGCAACCTCAAAAGGAAAACAGAAAAGTGGATTAGGCGGTCGCCCTCCAGCTCTGTGGATTGTTCATCTTCTTAAAATGCCTCCTCTAAGAGTCACTGGCCAAGAGAGCAGGTTCATTCGCACTGTTAGGCCCCCACGCCCCCACCCAGTGTCCCGAGTTCCCACCGGGAGGGCAGCGGGCCCTCTGATTTCAGGCAGGGGCCAGGGGAGGCCGCCTGTCACATTTAAAAGGCCCACCACCTCCCAGGTCCCTGAAGGTGCCTGATTTCACAAAGGCTTAGCATTTGATACCTTAAAAAAAAAAAAAGGGAAAAGGCCAAGCACTTTGAAAGTTCCACGTCTAAAAAGACCCTTGTTCATGGCTTTGGGGAGGGTAATTAAGCTAATCTAAACAAGGGGACCTTGTCTGGGCGCGGCGGGGGAGGGGCGGCCGGCCTGGCCTGGAGCCCCCTGCACAGCAGGAGCCTAGCGCCAGGGTCCTCTCCCACCCCTTCCTTCCCAAGCGGCTGCTCTTCTCCTGGGGGACGGGGGTGGGGGGAGGGGGGCTCTTCCTTCTCTCTGGTCAGATCTCCGCTTGGCAAAGCTAGATGCTTGGTTTCCTGGCTTCGTGTCCAGGCAGCCCACCCAACGGGGCTGTGCTGAGCGCTCGAGCCTTCAGCAGCCGTACTGCTGTGACCAGAAACCCGGGAACCGGACCAGGCCAGCGTGGGGCAGCACCCTCCCTGTCCGCAGTAGGAACACGGCTTCCAGCACATTCCAGCCCCACAAATTACAGGCTGGGCTCTGCCAGGGGTGTTTCCGAAGAGGGCACTAGCAATTTGGGGTTGTCTGCCACCTACAGCGCTCGCCAGTCGCCCTCACTCAGTGCCAGCCCGTGAGGCTGAGTCACAAACCACCCCTGCCGGCTACACGGGGCTGGGCTCCGGGCCTGGGGGACAGGAGGGGAGGGTGCAGATGGTGGCAGGCACAACAGGCACCCCAATTAGAAAATGACAGTGTGGCCGGGACCCCAGCTCAGCCCACTGCTCTTCCCCCCACCCCCGTCCCTCAGACCAACCCAACACCCAGCAACCGAGATGCGGGCCGCTTTCCTCCACGGAAGCCACGGCTGCGGCAGCCCCCCTCTCGGGCAGACCTGGAGGGCCTGGGACCTGTTCCCAGACTCCTCCACCCCTTCTCACCTCCCCTCCTCTCCAGGAAGCAAAGTGGAGGGCAGAGCGAGCCCAGGATGTTAAAAGCCGAACACCACCTTGGAGCTCACCCAGTCCAATCTCTGCTCAGCTTTCCAGATGCGACAGGGGCCAAGGCTGCAGCACCGCCCCAGGGACGCCCCACAGGCCCCAGGGAGCCCAGCAGGCCGGCACCTCCCCAGGGGGCCCCCTCCACACCTACCACCACCAGATCGCTACTATGCATTTCAAACGCATCGCCAGCCACTGGTGTTCTTTCCAGCTGCTGCCCCTACAACAATTAGCCCGGATGGGACTGTGAAGACCACCTGTCTCCTGCCCTCAGAAGCTCTCCAGACCCCATCTCCCTGGTCGCTCAGCTGCGGCCTGCGATCGGCCGGCCTCAGCCCTGCCTCGTCCCACCTTCTAGCACAGAGGCCTAGAAATCAGGATTTTAAAAAGATTCCCAGGTGATTCTAAATGTCAGCCAAGGCTGAGAACCACTGTTCTAGCAGCTTCTGCAACCTCTCTCCCAGGCATTAGGTAAAGTCTGACTCTCCCAGGCCGCGTTCAGGTCTAGCAGAGAATCACGCACACCTGGGAGAGGCGGCGAGGGGCTGGCCGGGCGGCGTCACACTTCTTCATCAGCAAACCAAGCCTCCCGCTTTTTCTTTCCTTTTCTCCTTCAAGCACAAAACGGAAGAGATGAAAGACTGGCCCCAGGCTCCCTGCCTGCCCACGCCACAGGGAAGGAAGGTGAGCGCACGCCCCCGTAAGGCCGGGAAGAGCCAGTCGGTTTCCCCGTAGAAACGGGCTTAGGTTCTGACAAACACTTGACCCCACAATTGCTTCAATCACTCAAACTCTCCCCCGCTCCCCAGGCCCTAGGCTAGGAGACACCCCAATAACCAGGAACTACAGGCCCCTTTAGCTGGAGTAAGCTGAGGCATCGAAGGAATAAAGCGCCCTAGGAGCCCCAGCGCCCCTTCCCACTCCTCCCTGCCCCCCCCCCCCCCCCCCGACACACTGCGGCATGTGTTCCCGGGAAAAGCTGTGGCTGGGGGTGCCCCCTGGGAACCCAATGCAGAGCCACCGCCTGGCGAGGAACGGGTTAAGCTCCGGGAGGTCGGCGGCTGGGAAAGGGGAACCGGTGCTGGGATGCGGACCAGCGCACGGAAGGGGCTGGTGCAGGGCGCACTGGCTCCCCGCCTGCAGGGCCGGCTCGGCCCCGGGCACAGGGTGCTGTCTGCACGGTGCAGGGGAGACACCGAGCGCAGGGGCAGCGGCTCGGGGTGTGCGGCCGCGGCGGGGGCGCGGAGGGCCCGCGTGCAGGGCGCGGGGGGCTCCCGGCAGAGGGGGCAGAGGCGCAACTCTCCGAAGTTGGAGGCGTCAGGCCGAGAAGGCAGGGCAAGGTCGCGGCCGCGGGGCGGGCAGCCGGGCTTCCCTGGGAGGAGAGGAGCCCGAGAAAGCGGGGTGGGGATGCCGAGGGGAGGGTGCGGCGCGGGGCAGGGTCCCGGGAAGGTGCACGCCCCGGAGCGGGGCCCCGAATGCCCGGGAGGCTGCTGGGACGCGGACGAGGAGGGGCAGGTGCAGCCCGGAGAGAGGAAGGAGGGTCAAGGGTGCGGGCGGGTGTCCCGGCGGGAGCGGGAGGCGGCGTCCGGGCGGGGCGTGGGGTGCCCTCCCCGAGGAAGAGATGCCGGGCGCGGGGAGTTCGAGGCCGCAGCGGCGCGGGGTCGGGAAGCGGCAGGTGCGGGGCGCCCAGGTGCGGGGCCTGGTCCGGCGGCGGCCGCTCACCTGTCTCCTACGGCCGGGGCCGCGGGGGGCGGCGGGGCGGCCGGGCCGGGCGGCGCTGGCGGGGGCGCGGGGCCCCGGGCGCTCGGGAGCGGCGGCTGGGGCGGGGACGCGGCGGCTGCTCCCGGCGGGCCGGCCGGGCAGGGTGGCTGCGGCGACGCGGGCGCGGAGGGAGCGCTGCGAGAGTGCGGCCGGCGCGCCGGGACAACGCCGCTTTATCGGGTCGGAAACAGCCGCCGCGCGCCGCTTCCGCTGACGCAGCGCGGCCTGCGCTCATGACTATGCAGCAGCCGCCGCGGGAGGCGGGGCGGGGCCTGAGCTGCGCGTGCCCATTGGCCGCCGGTCTCCCCGCCCCCTCGCCGCCCCGCCCCGGCCTCCAAGGCCCCGCCCCCGGAAAGCCCCGCCCCTGCCGCAGCCCACCCCCCTCCTCCCTGGAGCTGAGTCCCGCACGCCCCCAACCCGGGCTCCTCGAGGCCTGGGCCCCGCCCTCCCCAGGAGCCCCGGCCCCGAACCCCGCCCACCCTGCTCCGTGGCCGCGGGACCGAGGGAGGGAGGGAGGAAGTACCCTGCAGCCCCCGCCCCGCCCCTGCTCACCTCGATGCTTGCCTCTCCCCAACCGTCCTCCGCCTACCTAGACTCTACCCAGGGAGCCTCCACACCGTCACCAGCCTGGCCCCTCTACAGATACTTCCTGCCATCACCACCAGCACCAGCACCACCAGCACCATCACCACCACCACCACCACCATCATCACTATCATTATCACCACCACCAGCACCAGCACCAGAACCAGCACCAGCACCAGCACCATCACCACCATCACCAACACCATCATCATCATCATTATCACAGCCACCACCACCACCACCATCACCATCAACACACACACACACACACACACACACACACACGCACACGCACACACACACGCACACGCACACACCTCTCCCCAGGTGCAGCCGCAAACACTCCTGGCCTCCCCATCCGGGTCAATCCCTCCTCGCCTCCTGGTCTCGCTGAGGGCCACCTTCCCTCCCCACTCTCCTCCCACCCAGGAGCTCCCGGGAGCTGGCAGGACCCCAGATGGGGCCTCCCACGCACAGCCTGACCCATGCCAGGGACACCCCTCCAGTGTCACCCCGAGAGCAGATTGCCTATAATCCCAGGATGGGGCTGTTGGGAACCCCTGGGAGCAAGGTCAGAGGAGGCAGCTTGACAGACAGAGAAACAGATGATAGGATGGGCTGAGGTCAGAGAGCCCTGCACCCTGACCCTGACGGGGCAGATGACTTCACCTCTCAGAGCCTGTGTGCCCTCATCGGGCACCCGGAGACCACAGACCCATCTCAGGGGCTTGCTGACGGGGTGGAGCCATAAAGGGTGGGGTGCCACCTCCAAGCAGTCCGGATTGTCAGGAATGGGAAAACCTGACAATCGCAAGTGTTGACGCTGAAGTGGAGCAACCAGAACCCTCAGACATTGCAGGCGGGGATGCGAAGGGATGCAGCCGCCTGGGAACAGCGGGCAAACCCTTTGACCTAGCAATTCCATCCCAGGTGCCTATCTTATCTGATCATGTTTGTGTTCATAGCAGCACACTGGTAATAAACAAAAATGGGAAACTACCCAAAATGCCTGTCAATGATTGAACAGATACATACATAAGTTGGGTTGCAGTCACGCAATAGAATGACAACAATGGCCATGAATAAGCTACACCCACACATGAGAATATGGCTGACTCCGACAAATGATTTTGAGGAAGGGAAGAAAGCCAGACCCCAAAGTACGTCGGACGGCTTGGGTAGAAAGTGGTAGACCTCTCTCTATATACGGTGGGGCAAGTCAGGAGCGTGGTGAACGGTGGAGGGAGGGGCTGGACCAGGACAGGACGGGGACAGGAGGGGTGAAGGTGCTGGTAAGATTCAGTTTTTTGACCTGGGTGCTGGTTACAGGGGTGGGTATGTGATGCTTCAGTAAAGGATTAATAAGAGCATCAGGGGTGTACACATTAAAAGCCACAGTGGCACCTGGCACTTCCCGGGGGCTCCTTGTCGTCTACCCACCACCCCTAGTGGGTGTTTGCTCCCGTGGCCAGAGGATGGAGGTGGAGGCGAGTCCGGCTGTGCTGTGTGAACCTTTCTGAGTCCTCATCTAACAGGGGCTTCTAATAACACCTCGCTCACACGTTGTCCGGAGGATTGAATAATGCTTTTAGAAAAGACTTGATACAGCACAGACTTAATCATTTTGTTTAATTATCTGCAGAACAGTCAATGCTTGTATTGATAGCCTCTTCTTCATCTTTATTTCGTCAGCAACCAACTACTGAGGGCCTACTATGCGCCATGTGCCATGCCAGATGCCTTGACTAGAGCTGGCAACCAAGTCTGCTCCCTCTCCTTAAGGGTCCCACAGTAGAATGGGAAATGCATACAGATAAGGGGAGGACCACTAGCCACCCGGCACGGAGGCCAGCATAGGACCTGACTCACAGTAGGTGCTCCATCAATGCCTCTGAAGGGTAATGGAATGCCTACCTAAAGTGTGTGCATGCACTTTCATGTGAATGGCCTCCAGAAGGCGGGTTCTAAGCCAGAGATGGGGAAACATCAGATTAATTTACTTACGTGACCTGAAGTTTCACACAGAGATTGGACAGAGAACAAAGTTAGGAAGAACATGGCCCCAGTGTGCATGTGCCTGAACGCTGTGTGTTTGTATGTGCACATGTATCTGCGTGCACGTGTGCATGAAGACCCGGGGCAGGGCCACTCTACCACACTCTCTCCACCTGCCACCACCAAGAAGGTGTCGTGGACTGCATGTTGGGGCCCCTCCAAAATCCAGGTGGAAGCCCTAACCTCCAAGGGATGGTTGGAAGGTGGGGCCTTTGGAAGGTAGTCAGGTCAGGAAGGTGGGGCCCCTGCAATGGGATTAGTGCCCTTATAAGAAGAGATGGGAGTGAACTTCCTTTCTGCTCACATGCCTCACAGAAGGACATGTGAGAACAGAGCCAGGAGGAGGCCCCCGGAACCTGACCGTGTTGGCACCCCGATCTCGGGTCTGCCAGGCTCCGTAACTGGGAGAAATAAGTGTTGGCTGTCTGGGCTGCACAGTCTGGTATTCTGTCGTAGCAGCCCTGGCTGACTGCCACAAAAGGTGCGAGGTGTCTGTGGCCCGTAGCCCTACTGTCCAGCCGCCAGGGCAGCCTGGGAATGGGATCTATAGGGCGCCCCCTGAAACCTCCTACCCCCACAGCTTTTCCTGGATCTGTATCTGAAGGGTGAGGCTATGGGTCCTATATGGAGAGTGCTTGAGCCGTGGGGAGCCCTCTTGCCCGGAGTCAGAAAGACCTAGATTCTGGCCTGGCCCCAGAGCAGGCCTGCCTGGGCACTTACCTGTCACAGGTGTGCAACCTGGGCAGCCTCAAGGCCCCGTGCTCAGAAGACCTCCACATCTGGGCTGCTGTCACCATTTTTAATTTCTTCAAATTTTCAACATGGGCCCCACAAATTCTGGAGCCGATGCTATATTCTCTTTTGTAAGTACATCGACCTCCCAGCGCACTTGTGGGGAGCCTGGGGTGTGACAATGTCCTAATCACCGCTGTGCGGCCTTGCCTTCTCCCCTCCAAACCTGTGGACCCTTGGAGCTGGGCAGTGTCCCTTTCACCCTTGGACTCCATGGCCTGAGAACTGGCCAAACTGTAACCTTGACCATTTCTGGAGGTCTGCCAGGAATCGCCTCCTCCAAGAAGCCCTCCTGGGTGTCCTGCCTCAGAGGATCAGTGGCTTACTCCCATGAGCTCTGAGGCACCCCACCTTTCACGGGTCAGTGCTCAGACCCCTCGTCCGCACTGTAACTGGGCATTGTCTGTCTCCCTAGTGGACTCGAGCCCTGTCTGAGGGGCTGGTCCCAGGCCAGGGTCACTGCTGCAGCCCAGAACCTGCCCCTGTAGGGCTGCAGACATGTCTGCATGGAGAGGGAGACAGAGAAAGAGGGAATAAAGGGCTTTCCGATCGAGGGCCCATGGAGAGACCTGGGGGGTCCACGCCCCCCAAAACAACATGAGCCGACTTCCACGGGCACTCTCTGAGGGCCAGACCCAGCCCTCTAGGAGCTGCCTACGGCCACGTGCCTGCAGGGGTCAAGAGCTTCCATCTTTACCTGTGACCCACTGGGTTCAGGGCCCCTGCAGCAGGAGGTGGGAGGCCCCTGCGACCTTTAGCACCTCTGACCCTGAGGCCAGGAGGCAGGGACAGGTGGGAGCTCCGGTCTGGGAGAGGGGAGAGGGAGGAGCAGGATTGGGAAGTGGAGGGGCAACCAGCAGACAGATTTGGGGTTACAGGGCCTGGGCTTGAACTTTGACCTCACTGTCAATGAACCTGTCTGTGAAATGGAGTGAGTGGCGCTCGCTAGGGAGCCCAGACACGGAGCCGCCTTCGGGGGCTGAACCCCACCCTGCGCTGACCAGCTCTCTGACCATGGCGGGTCGCTCAGCCCCGCCGGGTTCCTGAGCTTCCCCGAGGGAAGCAGGGCAGTTCCTGCCCCGAGACTGGCGTGAGAAGCGATGAGTTCGTACAGCAGCGCCCCCTGCTCCGCGGTTTCGCTTTCACGGTTTCAGTTACCTGAAGCCAAAAAAACGCCTGCAAATATGAGCTGGAAAATTCCAGAAACAAGCAACTCATAGGTTTCCCATTGCAGGCCCTTCTGAGGAGCGAGATGAACTCTCGCCCGGCCCCCTGGGGACGTAAGGCATCCCTTTGACCGGCTCATCCACCTGTAGCTGCTCCCCGCCCGGTAGCCACCCAGGAGCCTTTGCGGTAATCACACCGACTGTGGCTCCGTGGTTCAAGCCACCCTCACTATCTCGTTATCAAGGAGCTTATAATTGATCTATTTGATTATTGGCGACTGCTGTTAATCTCTTACTGATGCATCAATCACACTTTAACGGAGGTCTGTGTTAGGAGGAAACAGTATATATGGGGCTTGGTGCTGTCTCCTGTCTCAGGCAGCCACTGGGGGTCTTGCAATGTACCCTGTGGATAAGGGGGGGCTACTGTATACACAACCGCAAGCCACTGACTTACCAGGAGCCCGGTCAGCTGGGGCAGCTGGGGTTTCACTGTGATTAAACCAATGAACCCACTCTCCCTGGGGCCCTCCATGCCAGCCTGGCCTCTAGGGGCCTGGGGACAGGGGGCGGGGGGGAGCCCAGGCTGAGACAGTGTCCCCGCTGGACACGCCCTTTAGGACACTCCTCTGCTCCTCTGCAAACCTCTCCTTTGTTTTTGAAGCAACAAATACTTTTTAAAAGAAACTTTGGCAAATCCCCAGCCTCTCCATCAGCATGCCCACTGATTCCCGGCTAGGTCTGAGCCCCGCTCCGAACCAGGCAGGCCGCACGCACGCACGCACACGCACACACGTTCTCAGGGTGCGGATCCAGCTGCCTCCCTGACAGCTGTGCTCCCTCCCCTCCCCCCGCCCCTGTGAGCCCATCTCAGGTGGAGAGAGCAGAGGGCAGAATTCCAGCTCCACCACTTCCCGCTGGGCGCCCTCGGGGAAATCCCTGATGTCTGTGAGCTCCAGGTGGGCCACACCCTCAGGTCCCAGATGGCAAGCAAAGCCCAGCCCCCATTGCCCACCGCAGAACCTGAGACCTGAGAGGACATGCCTGCCGGAAGTCCTGGGGACAAACCCCTCAGCGGGACTTCCCGGGGCTCAAGTTGCCAAGAGAGCAGCAGGCTCCCCGAGGTCCTGCAACTTCCCAGGGTCACACTTATGATACAGCTTCCTGGGATCCTAAGT